CCTGTCGACTGGCAAATAACATGACCTCGTCACTGTCGGCAGGCTTCCCGGATTTCGTTGACCTCGCACTGGGCCGTCCCCGATCCCTGGCTCGGTTTTTGTTGGAGGGGGTAATAATGGGTAGTATGGGTGGGGTGGTGGGGGAGGAGATGGGCGAGGAGTTGCGAGGAGACGGTGAGGGCGTGGCCGCAGGGTTGGTCGGGGTTTGTGGGGTCGCCGTGGAGGTGTGGGAGACAGGGCGCTTCGAGGCTGTTGTGTTGGGGGGTGGGTTAGTATGGGGTGGTGGTGGTGGTGGTGAGGTTGGTTGGGGGATGGGGGAGGTGGGTGGAACTTGCGCTAGCACGAATTCCATTCCCATGGTTGTCGCCGCGTCGACATCGTCGTGTCGGGGTTTATGATGGTTGGGGACACAGCTGGGCACTGCAGGAACGGCAGCGTTACGGCGGTCGCTCGGCCTGGGGGTAGGGTAGCCGGGAGAGATGGCGGCGCCGTTGGTGGGACGGGGCTCCTGCCATAATTCCGGCCAGAAAGAGGCTCTATCGTCAGCCGGCACCGCCTGAGGCACGCCGAGTTGGGCAACCTGGGGTTGCTCCGCGATAAAGTGGTTGGCAGCCAAAGGCGTGCTTGGCCATGTCGGTATTCCGTCACTCACTGCGTCGGCCGGTACGTGGAGGTCGACATCTACTCCGCGATCGGCAAGGAGGTTTCTGAGTGTCTGAACGGTGTCATGGAGGCGCTTCGTCTCACGCAGCAGATCCGTCTCGACGGTTCGCAGACGGCTGATTTCATTCTCGAGGGATTTGGTGTACAGGTCCTTGCGGAGACGGTAGGTCCTGGTCCAACGATGAGCGGGCGGGAAGGGGCCAAGTTATGAGAATTCCAGGACTGATAAGCCATGCTAAATAAGGTAGGTTGCACATACTGCTGTGCCCGCCTCACCTGGGCTCGCCGTTTACCAATCCGGTCCTCCTTGGGCTCTGCGGCTCCCAGGGCATTGATCAGTACATTGGTCTTAGTGGGGCTTCATGGCATCACTTCTGACGTGCTCGTTTGAATTGGGAGTTTGATAACGTACCTCCTGACGGACGGAAAAAGCGGAATACGTCCATGGCTTTAGTTGAGTATGCCTCTTGGGGGGGTTACAACTGAGGAGACTTTGACGGGGAAGTTGAATTCCAAACCGCCAAATCACCAAAACCTAAAGCCTCTGAAGATTCCAAAGATTCTTCAAAAGCTAACGGACAACAAGACGGTTGAGATCTCGAGTTTGACACGTCTCTGCCACGTCTGACGGAGTCTCAGCACATCGGGCCTCGACAAGGGTGGAGAGGGGAGTTACCAAGCACGGGGCTGTTGGATCGTCCGGGGTATTGCAGGGTATTTCTGTTCACGTCAACAGAATTACTCTTTTCGGCCTGCTGCGGACCAGAGAGCCCAACGGGAACTGCATGTAACCAAGAAACCGGGTCAGCTTGTGGGCCCCCTGGATCCTGAAGCTCGTCCGAAAGAGGAAATTCTGATTAAGTGAGCATCGAAACAAGCTCAGGCAGCCATTCGCTTGGCAGGGCGCAGCTTGAGACACTCCTGGTTGATTTAGAGTTCATCTGAACAAGGGGTGATGTTTCCCAAGACGGTGCATCGAGAGGAACACGGCCATCGCTATGTCATTTCCCAGTAAGTAGATCCGTAATCAAACAAGCCAAAACCAGAAGTATCATGTATCAATCATGGTCCATGGCTCCATGCCTGCCTGGAGGATCGCAGGCAGTGTCATCTTCGTAACATAGTAAGACTGCGACAGTTTCCACGCTCAGGATCTGTGATCTGTCATGGAGGTTGGCCAACAAAGATATAAGAGACGCCGTCTCTCTTCTGGATTAGCCTCAAACCCATCTCATCTCTACCATCTCATTTCCTTCCTCAACTTCTCCCGACCTCACAATACTACCTAATCAGACTACCTCCACCGTCTCAACTCAAAGTCTCAACTTTCCAAGATGCCTTTCATCTCGCGTTCGTGGCTCCCCTTGGCCGCACTGCTGTCGTTGACCCCCGGTGCTATCAGCGCTGTCTCCCCAAGGGGTCACCCAGCCGGGCCAGCTCCTGTCGGAAAAGCCATCTACATCCTCACCAACGATGAAAGCAACGCGGTTGTCGCACTGCCCATCGGCCCCGACGGCAAGCTATCCGCAGGCACCGTGACCGCCACGGACGGAGCCGGGTCCATCGCGCTGAACGCTGACAACCAACCCGCCACCCCCGACGCCCTAGTCGGCCAGTCCTCCCTGACCATCGCCGGAAACGTAAGCCCAAGCCGACTCTTCCCACAACGCGCAAAATCCACTAATCCCCCTTACCAGTCCATCTTCGCCGTCAACGCGGGCTCCAACACCCTCAGCATGCTGACCATCTCCCGCTCGGACCCGACCAAGCTCACGGCCGTGGGCAAGCCGGTCGCCATCCCCGCCGAGTTCCCCAACACGGTCGGCGCCTCGGCCAAGCACGGGCTAGCCTGCGTCGGCGCCTCCGGGGCGACGGCCGGCATCGCGTGCAGCGCCTTCTCCCCCGCGCGCGGGCTCGGCCCCATGGACGCCCTGCGCCCCTACGACCTCGGCCAGACCACGCCGCCCGTGGGCCCCACCAACACCGTCTCCCACGTCTTCTTCTCCGACGACGAGACCGCCCTGTTCGTCACCGTCAAGGGCGACCCGCCCACCAACAAGACGGGCTTCTTCTCCCGCTTCCCCGTCACCACGACCGGTGGCGGTAACGGCGGCTGCGGACAGAAGCCGCCCAAGAAGGGCGGCAACCGGGCGTCGGTGTCGATGACGGAGCAGCGCAGCGTGCCCAAGGACACGCTGGTGCTGTTCGGGTCGCAGCCGGTGCCGGGCACGCACGACGTGTTCGCGACGGACGCCGGGTTCGGGGCGGCGGTGCTGCGCGTGGACCCGCAGAGCGGCGAGGCGGCGACGGTGGCGGTGGGCACGATCGAGGGCCAAGCCGCGACGTGCTGGGTGGCACTTTCGCCCGCGACGGGCACCGCGTTTGTGACCGACTTTGGGGTGAACAGGTTGGTGGAGATGAGCGTGGCCGATGCGAAGGTGGTGTCGACGCTGGATTTGTCCGCCAATGGCGATATGGGTCTGACCGATGTCAGGGTGGCGGGTAACTTTGTTTATGCGCTCGCTCCGGGCAATGGGACCACCCAGTCGGCTATCACTGTTGTTGATGTCTCGGGCGGGCCTGGCTCGGCGGTTATGGTGCAGCACTTTAGCCTGGATGGGTTCGCCGACCACAGGGCTGTGGGTATGACCGTTCTGGTTTGAGGTGCTGGGTCATTGTGTGGGTTTTGGCTGGCGGGATAGGGCTGGTGGGGAGGATAAAGTGGTCCTCGCGTGTTAACTTTCTAGTTCGCTGTGGTGTATAATTTCCTCATTTGAAAAGCTATTAGGTGACTCTGGGTAAAAACCTAAGGATCCATCGTTTTTCCCTCTTTCGAAGTCATGGTGTATCTGGACCTTACTAGACGGACCCCTGCCCTTTGTATTCTTAGGCTCACACACACGTATTTTCCTTAATAGTCGGTATGGGTTTTTCATCCGGCCCGCGAGGGCACGGTTTTCCTGTACACTAATTAGCTGAGGGTCCGGCACGCCCTAGGGCATAGCGGAGTATGAATAATAATAATGATAATAATAATAATAAGAGACAGACCCCTGAACCCCTCCTCCCCCTTTTTCCCTCTCCCCCCCTCGTAAGGTTACGGGGGAGTCCCACTTGTGCTCGCCATGAGGATAAAGGGGATTTCGATTACACATTCTGGGCCCTGTTTTTGTACCCGCCACGATCATGCACTGCTGTTGTTCGTTGCCTGGTACTCCTGGTCACAGGTCTATTCATCGTCATATCCATAGAATCCAAGATGGTCGCAACGGATCAACCCTTTCAGATGACGTTCTTTGTCCATCGATGGTGCGGGGTGGTGGGTGGCACGACAATCCGCCAGTGGTATCCCAGCAATCTCGAGCTTCTCCAACTTAAGGGGTCAGTATGACGACAGTGACGCAAATGGTCAAAGGGGCCGCCACCGGTATTAATAGGGGGCAAGGGAGCTTTGTAGAAGAGCATTATCTTCTGTTCTCGCCCACTAAAGTCATTACTTGACATACACCAGAACTTGCTAGCCACATTATCATTAATCAAGATCACATCAACCATCATGGAGCAAGGACAGCGCATTGGCACTCATAAAGCTCCCAAGCCACACCATCCGCACCACGTGGTGCCCAAACATGAATCGGGCTACACTGACGAGGCGGCTGAGGAGTGCCACGACCTGATCGACAAGGCCGAGGAGGACGCCCATGTAAGTCCTGACTTGCCGAGCCTCTCGGGCTAGCCATTACTTTACTACTCCCGATTGGACTGTAAATGCTGACCGCTACAGCTCCATGACCCCGACTCCATGTATTCAACTACGGACAAGCCTGAGCATGTGCACAGGGCGAAGGGTAAGGGCGGCCTCGAGGGCAGTGGTAGCACCGGCAAAGGTACAAGCCAGAAGATACAGGAGACGGGCAAGAACGTCACCGAGTCCATCGGCGAGACCATGGGCGAGATGAAGCAGAAGATGGGAATGGGAAAGTGAAGGGACTGAGGTTCCGGGCCCTGTAGATATCCCTGGTAGTGAGTGATGCATTTTAAAACAGAATGAACTTGTGTTTCCCTTTCAACATCTTTTCAGATGCTTCCACCTTGTGCGGCTCGTCTCGATGTAGTTAGTCCATATCGTCGGTTAGCGATCAGCGGTCATGGATCGATCTCGCATGACGAACAGGGACCGACCTTTAAGACCACCGTTAGGAACGACAACCCGCTGACGGCTCCTTCATTTCCGGCGCCCTATCCGGCCACCATGTTGGACCCCTCCATGGCTCTCAGGTTTCCATCGCGGCTACTGAAACGGATTGTGCCTTGCAAACAAACCTACTCACTTGCTAACATACACACACCAACACGGTAGATGACTGGATTTGCGTCGCAAGTCGCGTAACTACCAGGTACACGTAGGCTCATGCACCGTCCTACGGCCGTGGTATCCACGCGTTGACACGCCAGACCTGTAGTAGTCATTAGAAGGTTATAGACCCGTCACATCAATCAAAGGAGGTAGCCTAACGAGTGTAAAGAAGAGAATATCCTAAATTATATACCCCCCAACCTCGCCTCCAACGCCCTATCGCACCTCATCTAGCCTGATGCTCCTTGAAATTCATCACCTAATACAGATGGCCGCGTGCTCGTCTTAATGGATCATGAGCGCCTACCTATGTTGACCGTTATCTTCACCGCTGTGTGCCTTTCTGCTCCCTTTTTCATCCCAACCTCTTGTACAAGCTATGACTCGTAGCCTTTCCCCCACCTTCCTGTCACCTCCGACCAGTGCTATATATACAAGTTCCCGCACGCACACTGTCACCGCCTCCTCACAGTTGAAGCTAAACAACGGTTTAGCTCAGCGGCATTGTGAGTAGGACCGGTTGGACACCAATCGAAAGAGGACCGGTTCGACTCCCCCTCGCGGCGCATAACCCTGTTTTCGGAGTTTTCGTAGCCACCAACCTCCATTCGACCGGCGAATGGGGCTTGGTGGTAAAATTTGTATTTATTTCAGATTATCTTAGATTTTACTTTTGCAATAAACCAACACCTATCCAGACCCTTCAAGAGTGTAGGCATGCATTCCAGCTAACCACAGCCGGATTGACTTCAATACAAGACCAACCTCTACAAGCGTATAAACTCCATGATGTTTCATGTACTGCCTTTGGGAATTAGGTGAGGAGGCATAACCGTGGTACAAGCCCGGGAGCTGAACCATGAGATTGGCGTGTTAACTAATGTAGGTAATATTGAAGTTCTTGGACAGAACGTACCTGTCCAGCCTCCGCCGCCATTCAACCCTCTCGTTAATAACCCTTCGGCGGTTCGACTTTGCTCGAAGTCGATGACTCGCTGATTGAAAAGCCTCTGCGCCACGTCAAGGTGCGAGCCGCTGCAGAGGTCCCACAACCTCCCACCCTATGCGGCTCGCCGAAATGCTGGCGGGGTCGGCTACTACTCAACTGCTAACTAGATCACATTGAGGGGGGGCTAAATGGAGGAGCTTAGTTTTAGAATAGATTTCCGCCAAGGACAACAGCTAGGTACATTAGCTCTTCTCCTCTACAAACCTGCCCCCTGCCATACGCCGCATGGATACTAGCCCCCAAAACCCTCTGAAAGTTTGCGGCTCCTCAGCTGGCTGTTGGAGGATCCACCAGTTCGAGAGACCCAATACGAAAGACCGCGCCCAACGGCGGCAAGGTGAGCACGACAGATCTCCGGGTTCAGCGGCGGACCTTTGGACTCCGTGGCGGGGGCTAGTGCTGTCACCAGCGTCTGAATAAAACGCCGGTACATCTTGGGTCAACGCGGCGAGGCCCGGCTTTGGAGAGGGCTCGGTAACACCCTTGGAGGATCCGGCGGCAGCGTTTGAGCCCCTAACACAAACACTGGTATATCGAAGCTCCAAAAATTCCGAAGAAGATGGCGCTAAAGAGCATTATGTCTAAAACACGACGGGGTAAGTACATGATGGTTAGAAGAGGCCGGAAGCGCGCTTACAGTCCTTGCGCGACCACTTCGAGGAGGGCGGCCAGGGCAAGAAAACGACACAGGGGTCGTTGGGTGATGCGGATGAGAGAGGTTGTATCGGCGCCATCTTCGTTGTACTTCTGTCTCTGAAATGTAAGTCTAAAGCGAGATGATGGGGATGTGAGAAACGAGAAGAGAAAACACGAACGGAAGATTACCTACGAATAAATCCCAGGTGCCTACCCTATCGTCTGCATGTAGTTAGCTTGTTACAGCTTTTCTTTGACAACATTTTGCTTGGGGCAAGAAATTGTACGCGGGTAGTCGAGATGACTCTAATATTCTTGCCTAACCAAGGTCACGTCGTACAATCTAGCGCTGTAATACTGGGAAAGTGTTAGCAACAAGCGGCTACCTTGATGCCCTACACGAGTCACTATTCCTGGTCAGCTATGCGCTTCGGCCTTATCCTTCCCATACTACTTACTGTAGGTGATCCTTGCACGGCAGCCTTTTCCTTTATTATAGGACCTCGGCCATTAGCTGCTCCTGTATTTAACGAGATTGGATTAACGCCCTCCCACCATGGCGCGAGGCTGTATATATGTACCTATACATATAAGATCTTGGGTAACAACAGTAAGTAATCATCTGTATTATCTACCCCGTCAATTAACGCACCATTTATTTCCTACGAAGAGCACAAGAACAATTTGCAACTACGTAAAGAGAGAAGATGGGGTGGGCACCCGGTATTTATTCTAGTAGACAGACTTCCGTTGGTGTTTTCTTCTTTCCCATTCCCATACCCTGGACCGACCACATACCGCCACATCCCCGCTCGATGTTAAGACGTGGGACGCGGATTTGGGAGTGACAAGGTCGGGTTCCGTTTGTGGGACGGTATAACAGAATCTCAGTGGCGGTAACCTAGGACTTCAGAGAAACGCTGGGACGATTGCAATTAACAGGTTCGGGTATAAGAGCTTGAGGCGTCAGTCCGGAGGGTGGCGAGCGAGGGGCGGTGGAGCGGGCGTGTAGATGCATGCGAGGGATTGGATCTCAGATAAATCTGCCACATTCTGGGAGCGTTTATCAGCAGGTTACCTTCCCATAAATCAAAGGCAGATAAATGATTTCTACCCCCCACCGGCCACGGTTGGGACAAACCTCTGGTTAGGATATGAAGTAGTTGATAAGCACAGAGTTTGTGTTGTCATGGCCGGCGGTCGGGCCTTTTTCTAGCAGCGTGAGCAAGCAAAAGCAAACATCGTTATTATTGAGGCAAGACGGGGGGAATTGTTGATACGAACAGGGTAGTAGAGGAGACTTGGAAAGCGGGGTGGTTAAAGGAACGGGACGGCAGGGCAATCACAAGGCCGGCGGACGACTTTGACCATCAGCAGGAGACGCTATTCCGGAACGAAACCCTAAGGAGGCACGACGGTCTCAGCAAGGCGAAGAGCTCACTGCTGATTCAAATCCGGACGGGAGCAATAGGCTTACGGGATTTCTTGTTTACACGGGGAGTCCCGGAGGTTCTGACTCCTGCCTGCGAGTGTGGCGAGGGACGAGAGACTGCCGAACACCTGGTAGTGTGGTGTTTGGCCCCACCGTTGACTCGAAGATGGGAGAGAACTGGAATTCGGACACGGCGGGACTTTTACTCTGTTCTACACGGCATCAATCCCACGACTGCACGGCTCGCGAGGAGAGTCCTCGACTGGCTGATGGACTCGGGGAAGCTGCCGATGTACAACTTAGCCAGGAGGCTCGAGTTGGAAGCGGCGGCCTGAAGCGCCCCCATTCGGAGGCCAGGAGGCCTCCTCTCTTTGTATACGCAGACTCACCAGAACGCATCGTTCCTTGATTGTTGGTATGGGTTTTTCACCCGGCCCGGGAGGGCACGGTTTTCCTGTACACTAAATAGCTGAGGGTCCGGCACGCCCTAGGGCATAGCGGAGTATGAATAATAACAATACATATTGCATTGCTGAGGTTCCCCTAACCCCCCGTGCTGAGTTTTGCGGCTTGAATGCAACTTCGTCGTGGCTTTCTGGTCACGAGGTAACGTTAGCCGTTATCGCAGGGCTTAAAAGGTAGAAACCGGAGACGGTTGATGTCTGGTAATTCCGGAAGCATTGCTCATCCATGTCCCCCCCCTTGGCTCGAAGACAGAGTGACGTGACCGCACCGGGTCCGTCCAGTATCATTAAGGCGTCCCTTCAGGTCGGGTCCGGCACAGTCCCGAGCCGTGGCTTGCGTCCCCAAGATGATGTACTGTGCACCGCCTTATAAGCCGGATGTCACCGTCAATGTTACCGCTGTCCAACGCCACAGGCGCGCATCCCGACGGGCGGGTAATGCTCGACACATGATCCGCACTCGTGGCGGTGCTTTGCGATCAGTCACTTTTCCTCGGATTCGCAAAGCAGGAAGGATGAGAATATCGTTGGTGGCCACCACCTGCAGGCTCCAAATTGATCCCCCCCCTCAGCATCCACACCGAGGAGTAAGCTCGATATAATTTAGATCGGAGGGCGTCCCAGGAGCACCCCACTCGTCAGCTACGTCGAATTCCGTGATCTCTGATCTCTGCATCGGGCAGGGCGGCACCTCAGATTTTAGCCCGGAACACGGCACCGAAGTCGGCGAAATGTGACCCGAGGCCGAGAGTGCGAATGAATGCTGGTGTTGGTCTGGGAAAGAGAGCTCAGAGCAAGCAAGGGTGCCAAGAGACCGTTACAAGCTAGCGAGGGGAGCGAGGCGGCCCAGGCTAAATTGACGCCTTTTGCTTGTCAACTTCCGGGCTTTTAGCCTGTCTGCAGCTTCCAAATTTGGCAGCATCGACACGCAGCCAACGAGATAAGAGCACCATCCGCGCTTCCCACGATGCCCACGTTCCCGCTCGGGGGGTGCATCGTAGAGTGTCTCCGGCCCGGCGGATTCGATTTCGCCAGGGGGTTGGCGGCGAGATGCGCAGACCCAGCCCAGCTCGTGGCCCAGCTCGTGGCCCAGCTCGTGGCCCAGCTCGTCGGTGCCTCGATCGAAGCTGAAGCTGGAATGGGAAATGTCACAGTGCGTGTTGCCCCGGCGACGGAAAAGATCTGACAGGTTGCCGAACAGAAGCAGCCCAGCAGAGAGGTGTTGGGCGACCCCCCCTGGCTCGCCGCGCCCTCGACGCTCCGCACCGCCGGATGGACTGCCCTTTCTTCCGGAAGCGAATCCCGCAAAGGATTAGGGCACCCTGACGGATAGGCCAGAGAGCCCAGGGGGGAAAGGGGGTGTTCGTTGCTCGTCGGGGTGGCCTTCTCCAACAATCCGGGGCGGGCCATTGCCAGAAAGATGCACTCGATGCACTGCGCGTAAACCACCTGTTTGGGAAGAAATATGGCAGCGCGGGAAACACTTGGTGGGAAATTGAAGAGTGATCGCTGCTTTATTGAAAAGTGCTCACCTGGCCCTGCGAAACGGCCCTGCTTGGTACGTAGTCAGGCAGCTGGGTTTTGCGCCTCGGTCCAGCAGCGGCGGGCGCCTTCCCGGCTATTTTCCCAAATTCTGTGCGGGCAAAGAGACACGGCAGTCGAACCCAGCAATCACAATTCACAACCCCCCATGTTGGGCTGCGCGAGTTTTTTTCCCTCTCCGCACACCAGAACGCCGGGGCCTCGCGGGGAGAACACGGCCCTTTATTGCGAAGCCGCCCCTTCATCTGCCCGTTGTCTAAACCTGAAGCAGCCTGATAATCCTGTTTTGGGTGTTTTGGGGGGGATGCCAGCCCACCACACCTGCCACTTGCCACCTGCCACTCCAACGGACCCCATCACCCCCCTTCCTCGAGGGTAGCATTGCGCACCGAATACGGCCAGTCGTGCCTGCCATGCCCTGCCCCTGTGAGGAGCAAAGCAAAGCAGGAAGAGGCAGCCCGCCTTGCCCGCCACGCCTGCCCAGCACTCCCAAGGAACGGGAACCACCGCCAAGTTCGAGGTTGAGCGGTTGAGCTGCTGATGGACTGGTGGAGGTGGGCCGTACCTGCCAGGAGCATCCCAAAAATCCCACTCGCCCAGAGAAAGAGTGTGAAGTGGACCGTCTCATCTGCATCTCTCTTTTTTCTCGACCTGCTCGCCCGCTTTATCTCCATTTGGCATCCCATCCCCATTCCCATTCCTTCCTTCGTCCGTTCTTCCCGCTTTTCCCCCAACATCCACCCCCTTGGCCACCCCTCTGCAGTCAGCACCCCCCTGGCGCAGTCTCGCTCGCTTCGCAACACTCACATCTCACCCTTCCCGAACGACCACCTTACCTCCCGGTTTCGACATGCCAAGGCCGGCCCAAGTCCAATGAATTGATTAGATGGCAATCTAGATGAATTGACGTCAATTCCGCCGCGCTGCTGAGCAAGCCGCCCCCCGACCACACACGCCCAGTGCACACGCCTGGCCGCACGCCCAGCCAACCCCGGACTGTTCCCCCCTCCCCACACTCTCACCTGGTTTTGCCCGCCGTCAAGAACGGCCGGGTGCAACACAACTGCCGCACCGCACTCATCCCATCGTATGTGCGTGCGTGCCGCGACGGCGGGAACGAGCCGTGAGGAATCGTGGAGAAAAAGAACCCGCTCTCTTCTTCATCTCACTGGCGCCGTCTAGACGAGTGTAGCCGCTGGCGTAGCGGGCTGTGTGTGCGACTCGGCCTCCCGGTCCCGTCTTCTCCCTCTCTCCAGGACGGTGTTTATTAGTAATCGGGGTGCGGTAAGCGAAGGTAAAAAAAAAAAAAAAAAAAAAAAAAAAAAATAGTGAAGAATAGTGGGAAAAATGAGAGGAGTGTTTGTAATTATATAAGAAGAAAGATAAAAGGGAAAAAAAAAAAACTAGGAAGCGGAAGAGGAGAGAGAGGAGAGAAGAAAGGGGGAGAATGCCGGAAGCAAAGGAGAGGAAGAAATTAAATGATAAAGACTAAAAAATAAAATATAAATAAAAATATGACAAACAGGATACAAAGGAAGAAGGAAAAAATAATATCAAATAACCTATTACACCTCTTATTCAATTAAAACCCCCCAGACTCGAGGGGGGGGCGCCCCGCGGGGTCGCCAC